TTTTTCATGATTTTGAAACCATGATAGTTGTAAATAGTTTAAAAACCATATAGTTTTGAATACATTGTTTCTTTTAACCATACTAGTTGTAAAAGGTTTCAAAACCTGGCATTTAAAAAATGTTCTTTATTTATCGTAAACTTTACAGTTAATTGATACACTGCTGCTGGTTGTTTTATCATAATTTTAGAATGAAAGTTCTAACAGTGAGCAATAAACCAAGAAGTTTCAAATACTGAATTTTTGCTTCCTTCAAAATATGAAAATGCAAACAAATTATGGTAGGATTACTCCAGCCACGCAGTGGGGAAGTAATCCTGCCATAATTTGTTTGCACTTCGATATGTTTCATTTTATATTTCTTGATTTACTCTTGCTTCAATCGGGCTCATCTTTCTTTAAACTTAAAATTTTCAAATAGAAATGGAGGTGAAACACAATTTGCCATAAAAAACTTTCTCTGGTGGTATAGTGTCCTCCTAAAATATCACTTAAGACATTTTAAGTGCTGTTCCATAACTTGGGGTTTTAGGAATAAACACTCTTATATATAACAAGCACAATTTATTAATAGTTTACACACAGAAGTTTCCATCCAACTTACAATAAGGGGTTTATTTCCAACTTACACGAGGCCGGGGGCCGCAATTAAAAACACCAGTCAAATGGAGGGATGCAACTTCATCAAAATTTTATATAGGAAAATTCTGTCTACAATAACTTTAAAGTGCACCTATGTATTAAACAATTTATGCGCAACAGATATCAAATTGCTAAGATATAAAACTTTAAAAAGGTTGGCATTAAAACTTGCATAGTAGCGCACAAAATGGAGAGAATTGAGGTTTGTCTGCTGCAACCACTAGAGAATGGATATGCACCTCAAGTTCTGTTGTTGAGAGTCTCAAGAGATGGAGTTGAGAAGAGTCAGTAAGACGGTTTCTATTGTTATTCTTTATAAATTTCATTGATGAAAATACACTTTCGCACAAGTATGTGCTTCCAAACATTGAGGTGAATTTTTGGCCGAATTCTCGCAGATTTGGGAATCTCTCTTTATCTAACAATTTGAAGAAATCAGTTCCTGTTTCCTCCCTCGTTAGCAAAAATACATCTGCTTGAAGTTCGCACAGTTCCAGGGGAAGATAAGTTGGTTGATCCTCAATTTTAGCTCAAAGATAGATTATAGATTTTTTACGAAAATTGTCCGCAAAAAATGACTACTAATATATTTTAATTCGCAGGCCACAAAAAAGACTTCCCGGCCCGGATGCGGCCCGCCAGTTGGTAACCCCTGGTTTACGACATTTAAAATTTAGAATATAAAAGATGCGTCTTAACTCAACACTAGCAGGTGAGAAATCTTACTGAAACTTAGAGGGAAAGTTCAGATTCGATTTGCGCATGCGTGATATGATAGTTCGTTCACATAGCCTCGGACGGCTAAATACACAGCATTTTATAACTAAGCATTTATAGAAAGAAAAAAAACTGGAACATTCAAACGTAGAGTAAATGATAACAGTTCTCATTGGTTTAGAATAAGTCACAAAATTAAACTCTAATTAAGTATTTTCTACAGCTATAACGAACTTGGAAGGGAGGTAAAACACATCAGAGAGATTGAGAATTGCGCAGCAAACCATGTCCGATATTGTCATCGTACGCCGATAGGGGAGTACGATGACATTATCGGCGTGTGCATTGGAGTAATTTTATGTTAAATTTAAATTTTCCAGCAATTATTGTCAAACTTGCTGGTCGGTAAGGCGCTGGGCCCATGTCCAAGAGTTCACGGGTTCGATCCCTGATGGCCGAAGATAAGTGTAGTAAATGGTGACTGACTTTGCGACTGACGTTAAATTTGTCGAGTCCCAAAGTCCTCCATGTTCCCATAACAACTTAATACCTCTTGGGGTACTGATCCAGGAGTTTCCTTGTCTTCTGGATTGGGTTCAAAATTGCAAGGCTACGGAGTTGAACAATTAGTAGTCGTAAACCCAAAAATTGACTCGGCTGTTCAACGACGGATATAAAATGAAATAAAATAAAATAAAGTCGTAACGTAGCTGTTTTATCGTAATTTAGTGATTTGGTAACAAACTTGAGGCATCCCCTCTGCAGAGGCGATAGAACATTAATGGCATGACTTCGGATAATCCTTAGGAATGTTTTCTAGATCCACGTCAATATTATATTATATTATAACCGTCGTTGAACAGCCGACCCAATTTTATGGGTTTACGACTACTAATTGTTCAACTCTGTAGCCTTGTAATTTTGAACCCAATCCAGAAGACAAGGAAACTCCTGGAACGAGTATTGGGAGAAATTTTTCCACGTCAATAGACCATTTTAAGCTCTTGTGCGAAGTAAATAAAGAACTACTACAACCAACTTCGCGAAAATGTTATTTTGTAAAATAATCCAACGCCCTTAAACGACTCGCTCTCTCTTTTTTTTAAAGCTTTTCCTTTCTGCTACAGTTAGTCACAATTATAATGCAAACTTTTATTTCTTTTATAATTTACTGAGCTAGAAAAGGCAAGAATCATGTTTATTATTATTTATTTATTTAAGAAGATGCCAAATGCGGGTCGTTAAAGACAGTTGGATAGAAAAATATCTGGCAGGCTAACATAACAAGTAATAGAACAACAAGTCTTTACAAATACTGAGTTTAAAATAAATGAGTTTACACAGTGACAATTCAGTGCTTTTAACCACTGAGCCATCACTGGACATTCTAAATGTTAACTATCATGATTTTTAAGTTTAGTTAAGAGGTAATGATAGCATTAATAAATGGAATAAAAACATTAGATAGTTATTCATGTCGTAAAAACATGAAAAAAGTAAATAAATTTGTTGCATGTTTTGATTTCATATGTTCTTCTTATTTGCTTCTTTTATGTCTAGTTAGCGATTGAGTGGCTTATTTTTTTAGTATTGAAGCAACCTAGTCAGTATTAAAATGGCCTCATTTAAAGGCGTTTAAAAGGTTATCATAATTATTATTTTTTTTAAAAAAAGTAGCTATGACTGTATTAAGAGAAAAAATCGGTTGTTAATTTTGTTTTGTTAAAAAACTGTTTTTCAAAGATCAGATATATATTTTTAAATACGTTATCATTTGTGTGAAAGCCAGAACATTAGAAAAAAAAAAGATTAATCATTAAAATAAAATAAATATTTAATAAATGTTTATTTAACATCTCAAATTGAATAAAAGAGTAAATTAAGAAAACATTTTCAGTTTTATTTAATTTCAGATGTTTATTAATATCTCTTCAACTTTTGCTTATTTAACTTATTAACTCAACAAATTTTATTTACTTCATTATCGTTTTTAAGTAGGTAGAACACCGTTGTCCCGTTTTATATATTCCTTATCTGACGCTCTAATTACGAGTAAAAATATATTTTGGTATTTTTTAATTATTAAAAAACAGTCTAACAGTTTCTTAAAAAATCTGTTTGATACTCGAAATTTTATTTGTTTTAAGATATAAAATCAAAAAGAAATAGCTTGAAAAAATTTTTTCTTCATTCATGTTCGAAAATTTATCAATAAATAATTTTGTAAATTAAAAAAATTTCAATAATGAATTACTGTCATTACTCTTTTAAATTTAAATATCTACAAATTTGAAAAAAAAAATGGTTTGGAAGTGAACCATGTTTGGAAAATTTTATTTGTTCTAAAATATAAAATCAAGAAGAAATAACTTGAAAGAAACTTTTTTTTCATTCATGTTCAAAACTTTATCAATAATTAATTTTGTAAATTAAAATAATTTCAATAATGAATTACTGTCATTACTCTTTTAAATTTAAATATCTACAAATTTGAAGAAAAAAAATGGTTTGGAAGTGAACCATGTTTGGAAAATGTTATTTGTTCTAAAATATAAAATCAAAAAGAAATAGCTTGAAAGAAATTTTTTTTTCATTCATGTTCAAAAATTTATCAATAACTAATATTGTAAATTAAAGAAATTTCAATAATGAATTACTGTTATTACTCTTTTAGATTTAAATAACTACAAATTTGAAAAAAAAATTGGTTTGGAAGTGAACCATGTTTGGAAAATTTTATTCGTTCTAAAATATAAAATCGAAAAGAAATAGCTTGAAAAAAAACTTTTTTTTTCATTCATATTCAAAAATTTATCAATAATTAATTTTGTAAATTAAAGAAATTTCAATAATGAATTACTGTTACTACTCTTTGAGATTTAAATAACTACAAAGTTGAAGAAAAAAAATGGTTTGGAAGTGAACCATGTTTGGAAAATTTTATTTGTTCTAAAATATGAAACCAAAAAGAAATAGCTTGAAAAAAAAATTTTTTTCCATTCATATTCAAAAATTTATCAATCATTAATATTGTCAATTAAAGAAATTTCAATAATGAATTACTGTTATTACTCTTTTAGATTTAAATAACTACAAATTTGAAAGAAAAAAAATGGTTTGGAAAATTTTACTTCTTAAGCAAAAAGAGACAAAGGTATGCTGTATTTTATAACCAAAAATTATTAAAATGCTAAACATAATATTTTCACTTATTTTGACCTCCATTAATACAAAATAATGAGAAAAAAAATATTAAAAATATGTTTAATGAAAATTCTTCGTCAAAGGGTTAAATGTTTCGCATATTCCCCATCCATGATATTACATTGCTTTAAAAGAGTTAGTTCCATCCTCTGAAAAGAAAAAGCATGGATGATTTGTATTACGTTAATAGGCAAATTAATTCATTCACAGAACATAAAAATTTCCTGTTACGCTTATAAATGATACCGAACCATTTAAGATTCATTTTAATCACATTCTGCAATGACGGGAAGTTAACCGTAAATAAGCAATTTTTATCCGGCATCCGAAACAGTTAATCACCTTGACAAACATCATAAAGATTCGATAGCGGTATGATTCTACTATTCATCTCGTAAGAGGTCGCCCCCGTCGCCTTGGTGCAGTGGTCACGTGCGGCGGCGCATCGCGAGAAGGATTGATCCGCATGCCGTTCCAACTCTCATTCGAATGGCCGTGTTCGACGAGGAAGATACAACCGCGGGGCGGACGAGGCCTAGGCCCTTCCGCCCCTTCCGGAGTCACGAGGAGTATCTCTACGCGATGAAAGAAGATTTGGCGGAATGGCTACAAGCCCTTTACGACTTACCGGTCACCGCGGACGATTTTATGGAACAATTAGAAACTGGAGTGGTGCTATGCCGGCACGCCAACCGTGTGATAGCCGTTGCGAAACGTCGTGGCCGGATTCTGGACGAAAAGTGCCGGGAAGTGGTGTTCCGGAGTGAGGTGCAACCGGGCACTTTTCACGCCAGAGACAATGTGCATAATTTTATCGCCTGGTGCAGGGGCGCACTCAAGATCAAAGAGTGCCTCCTCTTCGAAACTGACGATTTAGTGATGAGAAAAAACGAAAAGAACGTTGTTTTGTGTATTTTAGAAGTGGCCCGCCGGGGCACCAAATACGGGATGCCCGCTCCCCTTCTTGTTCAGATGGAGCGAGAAATTGATGCTGAAATCGCAGCCCACCGTGATGATACCAATGGAGAGTCCCGAACCCCACCGTCGTCCCTGTCCCTTCGGGGAGATTCGGACGAAGGTGGACACGAAGCGGACGATGATTCTGAATCGGAGCCCTTAGCGACGCCCCGGCAACCTCAGCTGCCCCAGCAACAAATTGTCACCAACGATCTCAGATCACTACACGAACGGGTAAGTTTTCTTCTCTCTTACTTCACTGAAAGCACCTTTTAAAAGGAAGCCCTGGCAATTTTCCCACCCTCCTCTCTTAGTCGCCCCTGAAAGGTAGTCTTTCCGGCGCATGCTCTATCTCGGCAGTGTAAGGACATTTACACTGATCATTCGCTTAAAGTTTGCTCAAAAAATATTTATTTTCACGCGATTATATTATTTTATATGTTTATGAATGTAGTTTCTTTTAACTATTGATATATGTAAAATGTTTCTCATCAGAAACACCTATTAGATACGACTATCAAAATATTACCTGGGTAGCGTACATTTTCAAGGGCAGGGTCAAACAGTGACCTAGAATTTGAAAGGGTTGTTCAGGAAAATCTCCAATATCGTATTAATAAAAATTGTGTTTTAATATTTCTACAATATAATGGAAGTAAATTTTGTTTTAATTATCATTAAGTGTTCAACAAGCTGACGATTACTTATATTTCTCAAGTTTATACAAATTTAAAAAAAGCATATAGTTTCTAGAGGATTTTTTATTTATTTTTTTTAAAAAAAATTTAGGTAATTTTAATTAATTAAAAAAATTTAATTCTTATTATTTAAAAATATTAAATAATTTTTTATTTAAAAAAAAAATATGGATATAACAAAGGGAAAATATTAAAAAAAAAATTAAGCCGCCATCTAGGTGTTTTACACGTCTACTTAATTTAAAATATGACACTACTTAAGTTAGTTTCTCATTTCGCTTTGTTATTTTTGTTAAGCCTGCACCTGTAATATTAATACTATTTACTTCTTTATGAGTAATGAATTACATAGGTAAATTTTATGTTCTTATTTTATGTGAGAATAGAACTTAAATTAAATTACAATTCGAAATAAAAAAAAACAATACTTGATATTCTATATTTATATATTGAAAAAAAATTAAGAATTGATGAAAAACGATTCCGAAAATGTGATTTTATAAAATCATTTGCATTAAAATAAAAGATACTTTTTTCTAGCCTATAAAATACATGCCTTTAATTTTATAAGATAGGTTGGTTTTTTACTTCCCCTTTCGCCTAATAAGAAACTAAAAATTTAAAACTGGCACTAAAAAGATGATCCAATTTTTTTTAAAAAATATTATGTGAATTTTAATTGTTTACTCAAATAATATTTTAATTCATTAAGTTAAGAGGGAAAACTTTAGTTTCTAAATAGTAAAGTATACTATTATTTACAAAATGTAAACAAGTCGAAATATTTCGTTTTTGTTACTTTTTCTTGTTAAAGCAATTTGCAAATTATTTTAATTCATTCACAAGTGATAATAAATCAATATTAAATTTATGCTTTATTGAACAGTTTATATCGAATGTAATTGACTATAATGTCTAGAAGATATTTTGAAATTAATGCATTCTTTTATGATATTTAGTCATTCTAATATATTTTATAAATAGCTTGTACCTCCTCTATGTCTTATTCTTTTTTTTAAGCTATATCTTATTTAGTTATAAATAATTAATTTTAAATAGGAAGCGATTACGAAAATGCATTTTTATAAAATCGTTTGCGACAAATTTAAAAAGACAATATTTCGTTCCAGACTTACGAAGGCTGATTTCACTCTCTCCTTTTCTTTACCAATGAGAAACGTATATTGAAAACTGATAATAAAAAAAAAAAAACGATTTCAGAAAAGCCAGTTAAATCGTTTGTTATAAAAATCTCTTTATGCTTCTCAGTTTCAATTCAATAAATTAAGATATAGAATTATTTTAGATTCTAAATAATTTTATTTCTGTGGTTTACAAATTATAAACGCTTTAGAATCTTAAAGGTTGTTTTAATGGTAGAACTTTCATTTCGATTTCATGAAAAAAAAATTTTTTTTCTTAAACTTGCAACTTCTAAACGTTTTAAAAGATTTTTAGACTCATTTTAAATTTTAAACTGTTCAAAGACAAAACTGTGCTTCCTATGAGTATTTTATGCATTTAACTTCATGATAATGAATTTTATAGTAATTTATTAAATTGTAGTTAATAAAATTAATTTTTACTCTAATAATACCTTTCAATATTTTATTATCAACACTGTATTTCATTAAGTTTTCCAGATATTTCTATAAATATGAGATGACTCATTTTATGAATGAAATTACCATGTAATTCCAGTCCATTGGAAACAACTGCTATTTTTACATATAGTTACCCTTTCATACCTTTTGAAACCGAAATCGATTCGGTGACTATTAATGCGTCATATTAAAACCCCTGTCCTGCAGACGCATTAATGATTCTTTGTCTACCGGACTCGTAGGCGTAGCAGTAGACAGTCTGTCTGCCGGATTTAGATCATGCGTTAGTTAGGCGTCACATCTGCATCTTCTAACCATATCACAGAAAACATGTGGCATTTAATTAACTTCACATTTTACTTTTTTTCTTTAAATATACTATACGAGTTTTACATTTTACACATATTTTATGTGTAAAAAAATAAGTGCTTTTTTGTTTAGTACTTAAAAAGTACTTTATTTTCAAGAATAGTAGGTTTTAGGGGATACTTTTTTTAAAATTTTTGTCTTGTTCGAAATAAAAAAAATGAAATCATGAACGTATTAATAAGTGTGATACTTGTGCGTCGTTAAAATTAAACTAAAGAACGGTAGACGAACTGTAAAAGTAACGTAAAAAGTTCTAATATAAAAAATTGAAAACAACATAAAAAGTTCAAATAATTAATTAAAAGAATTGTCTGAAATGATGCATGAAAGTCAACCATGACCTGATGTTTCGAAATCTGATTTTCGTTAATTATTATTTATTAACAGTTATTTTTATTCATTAATCTTGGGATCTAATGTAGGAATTTCTAATCTGTTCTTTTTTAAATTAAATTAAAAATTAATTTAATTAAAATTAATTAAAAATAATCTAATATAATAAAATTAATTACATTTAGAAAATTTAAGGCTTAAGTAATCCCAATATTCATCTATGACGATTTTGTGTACCATTTTGGAAAAATATGTGTTACCTATAGATCAAGAAATTTATTTTTTACTTTCTTTTTAAAGAGAAAGCCAGTTGAAATTTATTTTTAATTAGAAAGATTTAATGTGAATTTATTCATTTTTATTGTTTTTTCATTGCTTCATAAGTCTTAAAAATACGTTTTATGTTAGGCAGTTGAATTCGCAAGTCTGCAGAGGCTACGTTTTTATAGTTTAAGTCAAGTCTAGTAGTTTTTAAGTTGAAATTGAATAAAATAAGGTGAATAATAATTTTCAAAGAAAAGTTATAAATTGTGATTTATTTCAAATATATTGCTTTTTTACATGAGTAATTTCATAAAAATAACCTTAATATTAAATAAATAATGTATTATTGGTTGGATACAAACCTATTCCAGGTTTTAGAAAATCGTAGTTGGTTAAAAAAATAATCTAACTTACGGAACCCTTGTGACCTTTTCGCGGAACACCATTTGGGATCTGCTGCTTTATTGAGACCATACTTTCTAGAGCTTAAAAGTGGTTATTTAAGTGTCAAGGAACGTACAATTTACCAGATAATGACTAATACATATAACTTATCGATTTTTCTCAATTAGGTTTTTTATAATGAATAAGGATTTTGATGTGTTTATTATTAAAACGGATCATACCTTTTTAGTAACACAACAAATTTAATAAAACAAAGATGAATACATAAGTACAAAAGTAAACATCATTAACACAACATTTCCATTCGAGCACAAACCTTCTCTACCCATCTGAAAAAGTAAGAAAAACAGTTCTTGTTCGTTTTTCCCTCTCGAGGGAAGTTTAATCGTTCTCCCTGTCATAAGTTTTATTTTTCCTTTTTTACAGCTCCGAATCTCACTTTGAATGCTAGTCAAATTTATAATTTGCAGTGCTTGTTAGAAATTAAAAAATTTTGACGTATAGTTGCCACCATTTTTTGTGTTGAGGTAAATTAAATTTTTTCTCAATGCATGGTGTCAAATTGTTTTTAAATTCATTGTTAAAGTTTTTAGTTATTTATTCATTTTTTTGTTTGTTTGCTGGTAATACATATTTTTTATTCGCATTAGAATCAATTTAAAGACTTCATTGCTAAAACGTTTCTTTTAAAAAACAAGCACATTTTTATTTATATATTTCGCATGAATTCTTTTTAAAAAACTTATTTTGTCTATTTCGTATAATTTCGTATAACTGCAGTTCTGTACTCAAAAATGTATTTTGCTTACCTCACCACCAAAAATGGTGACAACTATATAAGAAAACTTTTTACAGTATACGTGTTGGGTTAGCAACTATACAAGAAAACTTTTTATAGTGTACGTAATAAGTTGGTTACCAAGTCCCCGCCAATTTTTCTTTAAAGTTTAGCATTCTACATACCATGATACGTTTAGTACTTTAGTACCATTGTTCTATTTAGATAACTCGAAAGATGATGTTTTGTCCAACACTGTAAAATATTTTGGATCAAATACCCTGATTTTAGTACCTGAGTGCCAGTTTATTTTTAAAAAAACTGATATACCGTAATTTTCATTGTAATAATTTCCATAAAATCTCCAAAGCACTCTAATTACATAAATATATCCGTAAAAATGACGGAACAATATTTTGCGGGAAAATGGAATTTACGGATAATGAATTCAAGGTGCCAGTACTTTATACCGTAATTTGATCCGGTTTTTTTTACACCAAAAGTTTTTACAGTGAACTTTTTAGCCGGAATTCATTCTCTTATATATGAATTATAAAGTAATTAATGTTAAAGAATGTCTTATTAAACACTTAATTACTTATATTAATACATATCCTCACGAAATATATAAATTTCATAAGTGGCTGATTCTGAATTGTATTCGTATAATTACTTTTGGAGTAAAATACATTTTAACTGAAGCTAATGTAGATGTCCATATTTATCTTAAAAATATTTGAACTTATAGACTTATCATTCATGCAAACCATGAGCTGAAAAATT